TGCATGAGAATTTTCTCATCTTGATTTGCTGATAGGTGTCAATAAGTGGACGTGATGAGACCAATCTTCACTAATTACTAATTAAAAAAATTGAAACGGATTTTCCGTTGTACGTCCTTCTTACTGGCACACTATTGAGGTGACGTTCCAACTGGGCCTATTATGAAAGCAGCGGTGGACTCACTTCAAAGTTTTGATCATTTATATTTTCAATGCCGTGATAGCAATATCTAGGTCGTTTCTGCATTTCCGAGCTCTGTTTACTGGTAGAATCAATCAAGGCAGTATGGAGTTAATGGCTATGAGGGTATTACCATCAAAGCCATATTAAATAATCAATCAAAACCTTTAATATTTAACCACAACTGAATAATAAGCTTAAATCACATTCGACCAGTAAAGGTGTGGGCAGAAAAAAGGGTCAAAGCATCATCAGGACAATGATGCCGCCCCACCCGAGGACAATGCAGCAACGAAGGTGTTCGAAATATTAACCGCGAAAAAAAAATTAAGGTCACTAAAATATGAATTGCCGACCCTTGTCAGTCATCCCTATCCGATGGCAAATGTCACGGTGAACTCTGGCCCATGTCAGTAGCTCACGAAGACATTCAAGAAAACTACCAACATAGCACGAAATGAAAACAAGTGCTGATCCCTATCAGTCACTGCTTCATGAAGTAGCTAGCTATGAAGTACAGCATTGAAAAGTTAAACCCGTGCGAGTACTTTAAAATGCTCGCCCTAATTTCATTAAGAATGAAAATACTGACAAATAAAGACCCCTGTCAGTCATTCGCCAGTATTTAGAAAGCGTTGGCTGGTAGTAAAAAGTAACTAAGACGTAGGAAAGGAAGATAACCGAATTTAACGCAGGAATGTAGTTGAATTCCATCGGCCTAAAATGCGAATGTGCGAATCGGACATTCCCCTCTCTGCAGCGTCAAAAGCAGCGCCGATACGAAAACTATGACCTTTATACCGAGATGGATTAAGACCACAACGCTTGATAGCTATGGTAAGCATGTTGCAAAAATAATTTCTCGTCACAGGTTGGCCCCTTAGTAGGAAAAGAGGTTCTGGAGACGAACCGCGTTCGAACAAGTAATCGAGGAAATACTGAACAGGACAAAAACTACACTACCGCTTTATTATCAAAGAAAAAGGAGGCTGGTTATGACTGGGCCTATCATGAAAGCAGCGGTGGACTCACTTCAAAGTTTTGATCATTTTATGACATCAAGAGTATGTCAATAAAAGGAGATACAAACCGTGCACAATTTATTAATAGTCTAAAAACTAGCAACCAGATACGTACATGGAGTGAAGATTTTTTTTAGAAGAGT